CAGGAATGCATCCATCATGAAAAGAATTCAGTTCAGTTCAACATAATCCCCACTGGGTATAAGACCCTGTAGTAGGTTAAACTAGGGGGAGGTGGGGAGAGATTTAAAAAGATCAATATGATTCAGGTTCTATTCTCAAGGACCTTGGGTGTGGGCAGGAGGAGGGGGGAGAGGAGAGAGGAGGAGAGAGAGAGAGAGAGAGAGAGAGAGAGAGAGAGAGAGAGAGAGAGGATTCCAGTGAAAGTGCTATGAGAAATTTTAGAAAGGAGGTCACAGGTCACTTTCACCGTGGGGGTGAGCAAATAGTCTAAATGACAAAGTCCTTTCTTTTGATAGATAAATAGATAGATATAGATATATATTCCTCATTCTAAGGTCTCTTCCAGACCTCAGAGTCTGTGTTCTAAGGTTCCTTCCAGCCAGTTTCTCGTCTTTCATAGAGGAAGTAACAACTGAACTGGGTCTTTAAGGACGAGAAAAGCTTCAACAGGTGGAGATTTAGAGCAGAAGAGTTCATTCTAAGCTTGGGAAATAAAGAGAGAAAAGGCAGGGAGAAAGAGGGGTGGTATAGCACAAGAACAGGAGAGGTTCCATTTGGTTCAAACGTAGAGTACGTGAAGGATTATTGGATCAAAGGATTTAAAGCTGGAAAGGACCTCCAGTGAAGGAGCCAGACTGTGAAGGGTCTTGAGTTAAGCTTTGAGGAGAACATCCGTATTGTTCTGGGTATCACATTTTAGGAAGAACACTGAGCAGCAGAAATTGGTGCAGAGGGCTGTGAAGGGGACAGGGAAGGAACTGGAAGGCATGCTGCAACAAAATCAATTGAAGGAGTTGGAGGTGTTTAGGATGAAAAGACACGAAGGGAATGGGGTCTCTGTCTTCAAATATTGAAAGGCTGTCAGGGAGAGGAGAGGCTTGCTTTGCTTGGCCCCACAGGGAAGAATTAGAAGCAATATATTGAACTTAGTTAGGAGACAGAGTTCAGCTCAGAGCTGTCCCTCAATGGAACCAGATGGCTTGGTAGATAGTGAGTTTCCCATCATTGGAGCTGCTCAAGCAGAGGCAAGATCAGGGATGGGGAACCTGTGGCCTTGAGGCCACATGTGGCCTTCTAGATCCTTAAGGGCAGCCTTGTTCTATAAAATCTGAATTTGGTCAAAAGGCTACTCTCAGGATCTAGAAGGCCACATGTGGCCTCAAGGCCGCAGGTTCCCCACACCTGGGTTAGATGACCACTTGTCAAAGCCTGAGTAGGAGGAAAGATGGATGAAAGGAAAAGACAGGAGGGGATGAAGGAGGAGACAAAAGGAGAGAAGGCTGCAGAAGGATTTCGCAGTTCAGGTAGGACGTAGACTAGGTGATCTGTGTTTCTGTGATTCCCAGACCTCCATACCTCCATCACTACTCACCTCTAACATTCTGCTGTTTAAGGCACTTTTGGCTCTGCTGTGCTATGTTCAAAGGGACTTCCAGCCCAGCATTCTATGTTCTAAGGTCTCTTCTAGCTGGGCTAGTCTTTATTCTAAGATTTCTCCCAGTGACATTATATGTTCAAAGGTCCTTCTCAGCTGTGGTATTTTGTGTTCTAGGGTCCCTTCCAGCTATTTGTATTCTAAAGGCACTTTATATTCTAGTACTGATATTCAATAGTATTTGTGATTTTTAAGAACCCCATCCTGTCAGTCTCTCACCCAGACAGTATGGCAGATGTCTTACTAGGGAGAGGGTGAATGATAGGAGAAAGAAACTAAGTTTATAGTGTAGGTCTCTAGGAACTGGGTTAAGTTTTAGGAGCGGTGATACATAACTATCCTAGCCTATGGGAATCTTCGGAACAGAAAGTCAGTTAGCACGCACTTATTAAGCATCTACTATGTGCCAGGCACTAGGGATACAAAGAAAGGCCAAAAACAAAAGTTTGCATTCAGACTATAGGCTCTATGTCTAAGGTTTGTTTTGGGGTTCATGAAGATCATGTTGTTGGCTGCTTATAATTCCCAAGGTAAACCTTATTACAGGTTCTGAGAAGACCCCTATAGAAAACAATGAGCCAGTTGCCTCCTTGGCTTCCTTCCAGAGGGGGAGAAACCTCTCTGAATGGCCCACACATGTCATTAGGGTTCTGCCAGCCCTCTTCCCCTCACGCCCGACCTCCAACCAGAGCTGCTGCCAGCTGTTTTAATTTGCCAGGCTGCTTTCCCCCTGTGGGGAATAAACTTTTTTCTGTTCTCCTTTCCCAGTCTTCCTTGCCAGGATAGGCTCTTTGTACTCCCCACAGGTTGAGCAGAACTGTCATTGTAAATGGGTGGAGAGGAAGAGAAGTGTAAGGGTAGAGGAGGAGAAAAGAGTACTGGACTGTAAGGGAGAGTGCTGATCTGTAGGGAAAAGAAGAAAAGACAAAAGGGGAGGAAAGGGGGAAGAAAGAGAGTACAGAGAGACTCGGTGGTTGTTTGGTTAGTCAGTGGAGCATCTTGGTTAATGTGGGAACTAGAGGACCACCAGGAGTGGGGAACGAGGCAAGATAGTAACAGAAAAGCTCCTAGGCTGTCCTGTGCTCTATTTCTAAGCTCCTTCTGGTTTCGATGCTCTGTGTTCTGTGTTCATGCCCTCTCCTCTTCCCCCAACTTTGGACTTTCTGTGATGTCCAGTGAACCTTCCAGTCCTGATATTCCGCGGTCCTTTGTCAGGGTACACTAAGATTGGAGCAGATGCTTTCCTAAAGGCCAGCTAAGCCCTCAGAAGGGTAGGCGCCTGTGCTGGCAGCTCAGACAGAAGCGAGTGCTTTTGGCCCGTGTTTCTTTGGGAGTAAGCTGTCTGAACAACACTGCAAGGCTGTCTAAGTCACAGAAACTTTTTCTGAGAAAATGCAAAACAGGGAGTTTACCCACAAGGAGCTGGTATGAAATGAGGCTTGGGGGAAGGCCTCAGGGATTCCTGCCCAGAGGCTAGTCATAGATAAATAACACTGCAGTTCATGTGCCACCCCCATCCCCAGGCCCCCATCAGAGAGGAAAGCCTGGCTTTCCAGGCTCCCAGCTAATGGTCCTTTTGTTTGCCCTTGGAAGTATCTGTTTTTATCACGATAACAGCTGTTCAAACTCATCTCCCTGCCATCTTTACAGGCTACCTTGAACTTGAGGGAGCCAGTGGGCTGTGGTAGAAAGAGTCAAGGAGACCCCAGGCTTCTTAGCTCCAGGGAGGAAAACATGGGACCCCTGGGGGATGTAGAATCATCATTGTAGATATAAAAGGGATCTCACAGCCTATCTAGTCCAACCTCATCTTTTTACAGTAAACTGAGGCCCAGGGACATTAAGTGATTTACCCAATTGTAACTAACCTGCATGTGGGGCAGGATTTGAACTGAGACAGAATTCTGAGTTAGTGCTGCTTCTAGTGTGAAGAGGGATAGATTTCAGGTCAATGTAAGGCATTTCATGTGAAAGTGACCATAGAAATGGAGTGGGGGGGGGTCTTCATGAGTTAAAAGCTTAACAGCCGCCAGCATTGTGACATGGCAGCCCCCAAAACTAATGGTATTTTAGGGTATATCAGGAGAAGCACAATGTCCATCAAAACAAGGACATCATCCCAATGTCCCTTTTTTCAGACTATGTCTGGAATGCTGTGGCAAGGGATTGACCACCTGGAGGAAGTCCAGAGAAGGGTGACCAAGAATGAGCAGTGCAATGAGCAAAAGACAATTATCACAGTCCCAAAATGCACTAGGTTGCCTTGCAAGGCAATGAGTTCCCCATCCCCTGGAAGTGTTTGAGTGGAAACTGAATGACCACTTGTTAAGGATGTTGTAGAAGGTGGTCCTGCTCAGGTTTTGGCTAGGGACTTCTAGGGTCCCCTTCAACTCTGAAGTTGTAGGATTTGGGGAATTCCCTACCAATCAAAGCTGTTCTTCAATGGAATCATCTGTCTCATGAGGAGACAGGGTGATCCCTGTCAATTGCCTCTTCAGGCAAAGGTTGTCTGAATTGCTTGTTGGAGATGCTATATTAGGGGTGGGGAACCTGAGGCCTCGAAGCCCTTTGACTGAATCCAAACTTCATAGAACAAATCCCCTTAATAAAAGGATTTGTTCTGTAAAACTTGGACATAGTCAAAAGGCCACACCCAAGGACCTAGAAGGCCACATGTGGCCTTGAGGCCACAGGTTCCCCACCCCTGCTATAGATGGAGACCATAGAGGCCAGGAAGGGCCTCAACTGAACCGTGAGGGACCTCCTAGTTTTCTGAGAATCTCTCATCCTCATCCTAAGAAATGATGTCCATGGACTTGCCCAGACTCCATTCTGTCAAGCTACCTTCCCAGGCTAAACGTCCTGGGGCTTTCTGGAAACTCTCCTTGCCTCTTTCCCCTGTGCTGAGGAGGACAAAGACAGTCTCTGTCTGGCTGAGTCCTTTACCAAGCCCTGCCAGAGTGTACTTTCTGTGGGTAGAGAAATTGGGCCTGTGCCTTCAGTTCTTCTTTTTTATTTTTCTGTTCCTCTCCAAATTTTCTTCCCCTGCCCTAATTAGAGATGTTTGGGTGAAAGGAGAGGGATTGTTTTGAGACCGTGTCTGTTTGGAAATGTAATTCCTTAAACCAGAGCATCATGGAAGCTACAAGATCTTTTCCCCCACCCTTTCTTCAACTTCCTTCATTATGTATCAAACCCTTCCTCACTCTTCCCCTCCTGGCAGCTGAATGCTTATTATGGATGCCTGCAATGGGATACAAGTGGGTAGTTGGGAGGCACTGTAGAGCAGTCAACCTGAGAGATAGCACCTTAGAGATCATGAGGCTCAACTTCCCTCACATTACAAATCAGGAAGCTGTGGGTCTTGAGATTTTTGCCATTAGAAAGCCTTCCAACGGATCTTTGTCAGGGCTTCTTGCTCAGGTGCAGTTTGAACTAGATGACCTCTGAGACCCCTTCCATCTCTGGGATTCTTAGGTTCCATAAGGCCCAAAGGACAAGTGACTCTCCCACAGCCACACAGCAGGTTGGTGGCTGAGACAACTTTGTTTTGTAGAGGTCAGGGAACATCCCTTGGGGATATCTGGTGCACAGCTAAGCTCGGTAAGTTTCTTTAAGCTACATTTATGCAATAATTACTCAATAGTGAAGGGTGGATGTGTGGATGGACACTCAAGTGAGTCATGGGCTGCCCATGGAAGGCCCAGTTGTAAAGCAGGAAAAGTTTCTCTTTAGTACCCCTCCCTCACTTCAGTTGCCCCTCTCCCTGACAGGCATTGACTGCTAAAGGCTGGGACTACTCTGCCCTATCCACCCACCCCTGGTTATTTGTGCTCATGAAGCCCTCAAATTCTCTTCTTTCCTCTCCCTTCTCCTTCCTCCATCCTTCTCTCTTCTCTTTTCTATTAACAAAAAACAGACCAGAATCCTGTTAGCTGACCTAATTTGCAAAGTACTGCATGTAGTGATCTCATTGGATCCTCCTGACACCTCCTTGAAGTGGGTATTTCTATTCTTGATTTTTTCCCCCCATCCATTCCTTATCAACATCAACCGTTAGAAATCTTTAGTGGAAAAAAAATAATAATTGTACGAACAGTGGGGTCTGGAAGTTAAAAGACCAGGGGTGTTGTACCAGTCCAGCTCTGCCACTGTCTCTGTATAAGACCTTTGGCAAGTCATATAAACTCTTGGCCTCATTTGTAAAATGGATGGAATGGTGTGGAACAGGGGTGGGGAACCTGAGGCCTCGAGGCTACATGTGGCCCTCTAGGTCCTCAGGCTCCGCCCTTTGACTGAATCCAAACTTCACAGAACAAATCCCCTTAATAAAAGGATTTGTTCTGTAAAACTTGAACTCAGTCAAAAGACCACACCCAAGAACCTAGAAGGCCACATGTGGCCTCAAGGCCGCAAGTTCCCCACCTCTGTGGGGAATGATCTCTATGGTCTTTTTTAACACTAACAATGTAAGTTCTATCTTTTTATGTTATAACGTCTTTTCTAGCTCAGACATTCCACGATTAGGATTATATCTTGAAATAGGATGCAGTGCTCAGAAAATCACTTTTCAGAAGTCCCATCCCCAGTGCGATTGATTTATTTCAATGGCCTTGACCTAGATACTCTTCTGCTTTGTGGCCCAGATCTGCTGTCTCACCAGAGCATAATCATCTGTTGTGCTGGCCACATCAGGGTCAGATGGGGTGCCAGATGTCCTACCTGTGTGCTCTTCGTATGTATCCCCTGGTCATGGTTGTTCCTTGTGTGCGGGCCCTTCCCAGTGGCGGTGTTTTAATCTGGGGAGTGGCATATTCCATCTACTAAGGGAAGAGGGGAGGGGAAGCAGAAGGGGATCTTGACATTTCATTTGATGTGAAGTTTGATTGAGTATTGGTTTTGGTTTTGGTTTTTACTGTAATCCCCATAAAGACTTGAAAAGCCAGGCTGAGAATTGCCAGAACTATTGATTAGAATTGTCCCCATGTTTGATCTGCAACTCATGCAAATGCACACACCTGAGTCTCATAAGCAAGGCCAGCTCTGTGATCTTTGTGCAACTTTGCACATCATCTGGAATAAATTAATGTTTGTTGATTTGACTTGGTCCTTTGGGAAGTAGGGACCAACACTAAAGCACACATTTATATGTTTTTTTTTTTTAAATTTTCCTTTCTTCATACATTTAATTTAGGCACATCAGTCACTTCCCAATAAATAACACCCTCTTCCATCCCACTGAAATAGAATTTTTCCATTGAAAAAAGTTAAGCAAAACCACCTAATAGGGTGATAGTAGTATTTTTGTTGTTCAGTTATTTTAGTCATGTCTGACTCTTTGTGACCCCATTTGGGGCTTTTTTGGCAAAGATAATGGAGTGGTTTGCCATTTTCTTCTCACTCATTTTACAGATGAGGAAACTGAGGCAAAAAAAAGTTAAGTGACCTGTTTAGGGTCACACAGCTCTTAAGTGTCTGAGGCCAGATTTGAACTCAGGAATGGGAATCTTCCTGACTCCAGGTGAGGCACTCTATCCACTGAGTCACCCTGCTGCCTAATAACAGTATGCAATTTGTAATAGCTTCTGTGGTCACAGGGTGATTTTTGTTCATTGCCTCCTCTAATGCTGACAGCACTCTTGTGAGGCAAGGAGTGAAAGCAAGCATTCTTCTCCCTATGTTATCTGGGAGGAAACTGAGATTCTTATCAGAACATTCTCTTACAGGGGAAGTCACTTCTAGGAGTCCACACAGGGAGTTAGTGAAAGAGCCAGGACGTGAAACCAGGTTTTCTGAAGCTGAGCTTGTGCTCTTCTGTACTCAGAAGGCACTTGATAAACGTTCCTTGATCGTTGATTAATTCTTTTCATGGTTTTGAATTTGTGGTATGAGGCACCAGACTTCTTGGATACTTGGTTAAGGGCACAAGATTAGCAAACATTTCCTCTGAGTAGCAGAGAGAGAGAGAGAGAAAGACAGAGACAGAGAGACAGAGACAGAGAGACAGAGAGTCTATTTTTTAGTGGTACCAAAGAGCAAGATTCAAAAGGAAAAGTGTGTAGGTATCTGCTGGTACATTCCTCCCTATCTCTTAACTGTTGTATCCCTGGGACCAGCCCCCAAGACTCCTGATTTCCCATCATGATGGAAGTCATAGCTTCTATACTTCTTCCAGCTTTCAGGAACAAGATTATGTCAAATGGTCATTATCCCTCTCACCTGTCTTTCATCTCTGGGCCTCTACTTGCATCCAAATTTTCTGTTCTCTATTCTTTCTGCTCCTCATGCCTGAATCTGTTCAGGAATGCCACATTCCAGAAATTATGATATCATAACATATCACAACTGGAGCCAGTATGATGCCCCAGATAGAGGAATGTGGCCTCTCACGATGAATCAGGCAGGTGTGGTTGGCTGGGGATTAAATAGCGTGATTCAACCTCATGCTGTTTAATGATAATCACAGAGCTTAAAGATGGAAAAAAAATAATTAGATCATTTGCTTCAGGATCCTAGAAGGCAGAGAGTTTTCCTTATGTTGGAAACCCAGGGAGTCACAAAAACATTGAGCCTATCTTCTTGCCCTCTAGTCCATCCCCCTGTCTCTGTGCTCCCTTTACCTTCATAGGTAGGTTATTATACAAGGCCGAAAGGAGTTGTAGAAGACTTGGATTAGGAGTCAGAAGGTTTGGGTCCTAGTTCACACCGTGCCACCAAAGTCACTGTATGATTCTGAATAAAGCTCTTCCTTCTCTGCACCTCAATTTCTGTCTCTATCCCATGAAAAGGTAGGATTAGATGGTTTCTATAATGTTCCTTCCAGCTGTAAATCCTGAAATCCATGAGCCTGTGACAGAACTGGGCATCTGGGAAGAGAGATATGATTCAACTCTTCACCCCAGCTCCCTGGCGTGGATGAAGTGAGTGCCCTGTTACCAAGCACCAGAGCCAAACATCATATCTATGTTTGGTTACTCTGAGTACACTGAGGCCTCATTTAGTCAGCATTGTTGGGATCATAGGATATCTTTTGGAAGAGATCTCAGAAGCCATCGAGGTCTGAACAGGATGGAGCTGTACATGAAAAGAACCCTGGAACTGGAGTCAGGAGATATGGGCTCGAGTCTCTGCCCTGCTCTGATACTTACCATCTCTATAGCTCTTTGCAAATTATTTACCCTCTCAGCGTGTCTTCCCATCAGTCAAGTGGGGTTAAGAATACTTGCTTTACTGACTTGCAGGAAAGCACTTTATAAATCTCTAAGTGCCAGAGTCAAGGGAGCCAGACTTAGAACCCTCCTCCTCCCGTTGTGAGGAGCACAGGAAGCAATGACTATAAAGTGTTTTGTTCCCATAAAGAGCTAGAAAACTGTGAGCTATTAATTATTGTTGGTAAATTTTCTGATACTTTAGGCTTACCAGCTGAACTCCTACCTTCTAATTGCTTCTTTTTTTAAATTTTTAGGCAATTGGGGTTAAGTAACTTGCCCAGGGTCACACAGCTAGTAAGTGTCATGTGTTTGGTTTGAGGCTGGATTTGAACTCAGATCCTCCTGACTTCAGGGTCAGTGCTCTATTCACTGTACCACCTAGCTGCCCCGAAATCCTACCTTCTATAGGAAGCCTTTCCTGATCCTCCTAATTGCTAGCGCCTTCCTCTGTGAGCATATCCAGTTTACCCTGCATGTAGCTTGTACATGCATAATTGTTTATGTGTTGTGTCTCCCATTAGACTGCGAGCCCCTTGACAGCAGAGACCAGCTTTTGTCATTTTTGTATCCCCAGCTCTTAGCATACACTCTTAGTAGGTGCTTCATATATCCTTGTCAATTAATTTAAGCAGTAAAGCTCTTGTGAAAATATTTTTTAAATGTTTTAGCCATTTGAAGGGAAAATATTTCTAAAATGTATTCCCTCTGTCTCTCTAAAATGAGGATACTCAGCACTGTTGTCATCACCATTGTAATCACATTTATGTGGCATTTTAAGGTTTACAGGGCACTTTGCTGCATTTGATCCTCAAAATAATCCTATGAGACAGTTGCTATTATTATCCCTATTTTACCAGTGAGGAAACTAAAGCTTCAAGAGGTTGAGTGACCTGCCCAGAGTCACACAGCTATTAATTATCTAAGGTGGAATTTGCACCTAGGTCTTCCTAATATCAAGTCCAGAACTCTATTGTATAAATAGATGATAGATAGATAGATAGGTAGATAGATAGATAGATAGATAGATAGATAGATAGATAGATAGGCAGACAGATGTATATGTGTGTGTGTGTGTGTGTGTGTGTGTGTGCATGTGTGTGTATATCCAGGAGTGGGGAACCTTTGGCCTCGAGGCCACATGTGGCCCTCTAGGTCCTCAAGAATGGCCCTTTGACTGAATCCAAGCTTCACAGAACAAATCTTAATAAAAGGTTCTGTTCGGTAAATTTCAGACTCAGTCAAAAGGCCACACCCAAGGCCACATGTGGCCCCAAGACTGCAGGTTCCCCACCCCTGGTATATACTTAAACACACACACACATATATATACATATATTTATGTATGTATGTATGTATTGTGTATTTGTATGTTTATATCTATATATGCATACA